GGAATGCACTACTTAAGAGAGACCAGATCGCAAAAGGCAACCACAGTTCAAATCCCTAGTCCCGTCAGTCTGAAACCTCCAGGTACACTCATGAGTGCCCAAGATCCATCGGGCTGGAGGTCCGGAGGTGGGGATCATGGCATGACAGACCCTGTGGCAGGCACTCGTGTCGCTCTCTTCCTCTTCCTCTGCCTCTCTCCTGCACGCACATGTGTTCTATCTGAATAAAGGAAAAGAAAGTCTTTAATCTGCTGAAACTTCGTGGTAAGCCTCCCTGAAAAGGACAGTTGAGTTGAACCAGACTGAACATCGAGCCCTCCATAGAGGCACCCTCTGAAGTGTTTTGTTTTGTTTTCCAGTTCCATTCCCTGGTAATACTGATTTTGGTAAACATCTGCACACCTCCCCTTCAAAAGCACGCTTAGGCTGATGGACCTGCTCCTGTTGACGAGCCCATTGGGTTTTCTATTAGCATGGGATTAGGGGTATTTCCAAAAGAGGGAAACTTCAAACTTTCTATTTGCTATTTTAAAAAATTTTGATATTGTCATCTTGGGGATCATCAGAACCGTGTTGGGTTTCCCGTGTTTTCTTTTCTCCTTTGAACGTAGCTGTGTACGGGAGCAGGAAGGATGAGTCCTCCTGTGATCTTCAGAGCTTACATCCTCCCTCTTTGCCCAAGTCCTGGATCTGACCTGGTCACCAGGGACAGCTCTGTGAATGTGGTCCAGAGCTGGCATTTGTGGTGACAACGTATAATGTAGATGATTCCTAAGCTTCAGGAAATGTGACCAACTTCCTTCTCTGATGGGAGGTTGGGTCCCTGTTGCACGGTCTGCTGTGTGGACACTTCCTGCTTACCCCTTCCAAATCACTCTCAGGGCAGTTGATTGAATTAGCAGAGAGACGAGGTCCAAAGACAGTGGCGTTCCGGGTCATCGTGTTGTAGAAATACCCTCGTCTAAGTAATTTTCAAAAATAGAGGTTTATTTAGCTCATGGTGTTGGTGGTCCAAGGACAAGGAGCTGAATCTGGTGGAGGTCTTCCTGGTGCTGGTGGTGGTGGCGGTGCAGAGCACAACGCGGTGCGACAGGACACAGCGTGCAGGTCTGTGGCCGTGTCTCCCTATGACCCGTGGGCATCCAATCGCAGGACTCGGCCTTGATGGCTCACCCCTCCCATCACCTCCCAGGTCCCACCCTGCAAGGTGAGAGTCAGATTAGGTTTCTACCCTCTTCCTTCTGTTACAGTGGCAGCTCAGTTCCCCACACATAAACTTTCGGGGACCTGGCAAACCACAGCAAGTGACATCACTTATGCTAAGAGGCAAACTTCTTTAGATTCTGATCATTGGAAGGTATGACTTGTTACTTCTGAGATGCTCAACAGAATTCCTGATGGGAGGCCGCAGGGCATTGGGAAGAAGACTGGCCTGGGAATGGGGCCCCCCCAGAGCGTCAGGCCTGCCTCTGCTGCCAGTCCCTGAGTGGAATCGGAGCAAGGCCCTTAGTCTTCTTTTCTCTGCAAACGAGAGTGTGGGCTCACTGGCCCCTGAAGGCCGTTTGACTCTACCTGGCATTTGTGCTTTTTTAGAGGAAAAAGAAGGTCTAAGTCACAGACCAGGTGTGGTGAGGGACGTCTTGTAAATAACAGCGTGTAGGTCACGAATTAATTTAACCTCAGTTGCCAGCTACACCACAAATGCATTATTTCTGTTCGTATGAGGATAAATGGCACCAACTACCAGTCATCGAAGGTTTTCCACATGCCAGGTACAATGCTTAGCACTTGACGTGAAATACCCAATTACCACAGAAATATTTCCATTATATTTTCACTTACAGAAGAGTAAACTGAGGTTTAGAATATTTAAGTCATGTGTCTAAGATTCCACAGCTAACACTGCAGAGCCAGGATTCCACCTCTGACCATCTGATCTCAGGCCTGTGTTCCTCAATGTCTTCAGAAGAGAGCCGGGTTCTGGGGTCAAATTAAAGGGCGTGAGTTTAAACCCTGATTCTCCCCCTGTGAATCTTAGGTAAGTTTCTTAACCTGCTACATCTTTAAAATGGGTCAATAGGGTTTGAGCGTCTGTAATTTGAAAATCTGAAACGCTCCAAAATCTGAAATATTTTGAGGGTTGACATGATGCCACAGTGGAAAATTCTACACCTGACCTCATGTGACAGGTCAGTCAAAATGCTGCAGTACAAAAGCCAGCAGGTGGTGTGGTGGTTAAGGGAGCTGGAGTCCCACATGGCTGACCGTGGTTCGAGTCCCGGACCTGCTGGCTTGCTTTCTCACTTTCTCTTTCTCTCTCTTTTTGTTCTCTCTTGCTCTTTCCTCTCTGGTCAAACTAAAATAAATAAATAAAGTAAAATAAAATAATTCTTTTAAAAAATTACCTTCAGGCTAGTGCTCACTTGGGCAGCTCCTATACTAAAATTGGATGAAATTGGAACAGTACAGAGAAGATGAACTTGGCCCTCGCGCAAGGGTGCCATGCAAATTCATGAAGCGTTCCATATTTTCAAAACTTCAGGGAGATAAATAGAAGTGAGAGAACACAAACGAACCAGAACGAGGTATAAGTCCACTCATCTCAGTAATGACATTGAATGCTGGGATTAAATTTCCCAACTAAAAGGCTAAAAATGCAGATTCAACTAGTTTACACACAAGCAGGTCTAAGTACACTTTCACCAATTATTTGATAGACGGCTGTCTCCACAGGTTTCAATTTATATATTTATTGTAACCGTGACTCCTTGTATAAAACTGGGTAATGGAGGAAAAGTCCACAGTGTTACAAGGAGCTGAGTCTTTCTTTAGGATAAATTTAAAGAAGGCTAAAATCGAGAACTTCGTAAAGCCAATAAATCACCAAATCAGCGACTTTACCTGGTCTTCACTTTCA